GCATGTAGTCAATTACTGTACACATACCCACACACATCAGTTGTGTAACAAAACATAATGGTTGTCGCCCGCAGTAAGCACTCAGTGCATGACCACACGACCAATCACAAGCCGAGCAGTGCCTCAAGCCGAGCAGCCAGATGAAGTATGCATGCATCGGACTCAACACACAAGCAGCCCGCATGCACCGTTTTAATGATTTTGCCGGTGACCTACTATGCTCAACAGGGCAATTCAAGTCCAGGTGGACCAAACATCAAATTTTCAAAAGTTACTTTTAAAACTTGGAAAATCTGTCAAAAAAAGGTGCTGGAACTCCATTCCGGTGAGTTCTATGACAAAAAAGCACTGAGGACAACTATTGATTTTCCTGCGAACCAAGGCTCTACTTGATTGAATGAAATGAATGAAAAATATTTTAAATAGACTTAGGTTGAATATTGCTGAGTAGCTGGTTTCTGTTGATAAAACAATAGGGATCTTGGCAAGAACTTAACACACCTAGGAAGAAATGGCTTACAATGCATCCCTGGTTGGGCATTACAGTACTCAATCCAGTGAAAAACAGCTGCTTTTTGCTCCAGAATATACCTTTCCCAAGCAAGGGCAGTTATATTAAATTCTTGGAGCACAATAAAACTGTAAAGGTTCTTGGTACCTTTGCACATGTTGGTGAGGAGGATCAGAAACACTGCAACTCTGTTTTAAAAATATATAATCGGTTAATGTTGCATAGAAAGGACAGGTAAAGATTTTCTGGAGTCTAAAAGCTGTTTTGATATTGAGGAAGTATTCAGTGCTTATACCAGATTTAATTATTGAAAATAAAAATGTGTGATCTTGTCAGTTCACCTTTAATCACCAGGGAATCGTTTCATCATGTTATGGGAGAACAGGAGGAAGCATTACATCAAATTATTGCATATTAGGAAATGATTTCCATCTTATCCCTGTAAAGAGACTTTATAGGAAAACAAGGTTTCTTTTTATAAACAATACATTCAAAATACATATTCATCAAAATAGGAAAACAATGAAAATATTGTAAATGTAGTTGCTTTCTCACCTTAAACTGTATATTAACATCATTAGTTTGATAAATAGAATGGAACTGAACAGAAGATAACATTCAAATCCACACAGCTGAATTTCCTGGGGCATTAATTTACAGCTCTAGAAGGGTTGTTTACAAAGGCGATTGGTATTAAGCCACAGGATTCTGTAAAGATTATCACATACAATTAAATTTAGAAAAGAATGTATCCATGGGAACAGCCAATGCCTTACTTGAGAGTATATGCAAATCCTTGTTTGATTTAAGAGAAAAATTCAATGTCCCTCCCACACTTTCTCCTAAATCAGCAACAAAATATATTTTAATCTATGGAGGTTTGCTGACAAATATATTGCATGTTTTATTGTTTTCCTAAAGACCTTACAATCAGAGAAGAGAAGTCCAGTGGTCTCATTTAATGAGATAGTGTCTGACTCTTACGGGAGACATTGCTGAAATGTTGTTCAGTACTGTACATGATGGTTATTTGCATAATTTACCTTAGTTAATTGTCTCAAATGTGCAATATTCCCTTGAACTGCAGTAACACAGTGGAAGACTGACTAAATCTATTTTCCATAGTACACTCTTGTTGTTCTGCTTGAGCAGGTTTCTGGTTGAAAAAGGAATGGAAATTCACAAAATTCTTCAGAGCAGATCCATGTTTTAATAGCTCCCCCCCCCCCAATCCTTATTTTCTCTGTGTTTTAGAATTATTCTGCATCTCTTTAATATCCTAGTTACAAAAACTTTAAGATTATTTTTTGGTGCCACATTTCTCCACCTCTGGCAACTTTTGGAACAACCATGATCTGGATGACTGGGAATCTCCATAGACATTTAGCTACGCACTTTGGGATAAACACCCTTTGAATGGTGCAGGAGTATGAAGGGATTTCCAGAAAAGAAATGCAGACTATAGGACCATTTGCATTTCAGTTTGAGATGCAGACAACACAGACTCATCCTCACAGCCTGTGCTTGTGTTCAACAGTGAAGGGACACAGGGTAGAAAACATCCTGCCGAAAGCACAGCTCCACAACACAATCCTTTCAGCAGTTCCAAGAAGGCTCCACACCCATTTGCAGGTGATCCTGTGGACACACATAAACCTCCAAGTAGCCTAACAACTCTCTAAAAGAATGCAAATGACTAGCTGTCTGCAAGGAATATAAATCATCCCCCACCATCCAGTCAGAGCTGAAGAAGCTTCTTGGATGAGAAGCAAAACATCTTCAAAGAAAAACAAAAAAGTCCAGTTGCCTCTCAAAAAAAGCACTTTTGGGACAACCTTGATCTGGATGACAGAGAATCTTCATAGACGTTTATCAAAGTCAAGCTTTAACTGCAGTGTGCTTGCATTATTTTATGCAAGCCAGTATACTCTTCATTAGATCCTATCAATTTTGAAGTACAGTATATGCAGTGTATTTCCTACCATACTTGCAATTTGAGGGTCCACCAAGACTCATGATTCCTGCTCAAGGAGCAGGTGGCAGCTGTGGCTAGGAGGGTCTTTGCACAGTTTTGTCTGGTGTGCCAGTTGCACCTGGTCCTGGTTTGGCAGGCCCTATTTACCATCACATGTGCCTTGGTCACCTCCAGTTTGGAGCATTGCAATGCATTCTACATGGGACTGCCTTTGAAGAGTATTCAAAGACTTCAGCTGCTACAGAATGCAGTGGCCCAAGCAATATGTACATTCCTAGAGCATCACATGTTACACCTCTGCTCCATGAGCTGCACTGGTTGCCAGTTTGCTTCTGGGTCTAATTCAAGGTGCTGTTTTTAGCATTTAAAGTCCTTCATGGCATGGGACCTAATTGCCTGAGGAAGCTGCTCTCCCTGGTTGCATCAGCCTGCCTTGCTAGATCTGGCAGAGTAAGCATGTTGTACGTACCATTGGCCAAGGACCTTCATTTGATGGGACCAAGGAGACATGACTTCTTTGTTGCAGCGCCTGCCTTATGGAACATTCATCTTTCTGAAATTAGACTAGCCCCATTCCTTTTGCTATTCCTAAAAGCCCTCAGATCTTGAATATGTTGTCAGGCCTGGAGCCGGCAGGGAACCAGACTGCTGCTCAAATGGTTCCATTGTTGAGGTGGCCATTTATATCCTTTCTCTCCTATGGTTTGCTTTTCTCCACATTGAAACTCATTTTGTTGGATAGGGCCCATTGTTCAAGTTTGTCAAGATCTTTTTGGATCTTGAGTTTGTCTTCTGGGGTGTTGGCTACTCCTGCCAGTTTGGTGTCATCTGCAAATATGATGAGTTCCCCTTCAATTCCCTCATCTAAGTCATTGATGAAGATAATGAAGAGTACTGGCCCTAAGACGGAGCCTTGTGGTACCCCACTGCTTACTTCTCTCCATATGGATGTAGTGCCATTGAGGACTACTCGTTGAGTATGGTTTACCAGCCAGCTACAGATCCATCTGGTGGTGATGTTGTCTATTCCATCTTTTTCTAGCTTACCAAGGACTTCTTTTAGACTGTTTGCATAACATCAGAATGTGTTCCAAATCCCAGTGTTCCTACTACATTAGGATTATTATCTAAGACTTCTTTTTCTTGTTCCATCCTGATTTGTTGGAAACCAGAGCAAAACTGCTATTTTCTTATGCAACATTGCAGTTCTGCAGAACTCTAGAGCAGTGGTTCTCAACCTTTTTAATGCCGCGACCCCAACCGGTCGTAAGTCGAGGACTAAACTGGTCGTAAGTCGAGGACTAAACCGGCCGTAAGTCGAGGACTACCCAACCGGTCGTAAGTCGAGGACTTTCCCTGCCCGGGAGCGCCGCACATGTGTGGTTCCGGCCGAGGCGTAGCTGGCAAGCGGCAGAGATGGAGCAGGCCGACCACCAGCTGGCCCAGCCAAAGGGAGGTAAGGCAGCCACCGGAAAAGGGGAAAAAATGGCGGACAAAAAAAATGGCAGACAGCCTTGCTTGGCGACCCCCGTGAAATGGTCGATCGACCCCAAATGGGGTCCCGACCCACAGGTTGAGAACCACTGCTCTAGAGGATAATTGACTTTTCCATAGGTGAGGGTCTTTTTTCCCTCTGCCTCCTGACCCTGAACTTCAACTTCCTGATTTTGGAATCTATAGAAATGGTTTAGTATCTCTCTCTCCCTATCCTCTGTTTGTTGCCATAGCAGCATTCTACTATATCTATTGGTATTATCGGCTACAAAAAATGCTAACAAGTTATCTTTTCACTTTTGCAGTTTGCTAGGGGATTTTAAATTTAAGAAAAAAGGAAGCTATGCATCTGAAAAGATTTTCCTCATAATAACCACTCAGATTTTTTTAAGTTTTTTGACAAATGATCATAGATATGTACATGACATGAACTCAAAATGTGCATGGGAGCATTAACAATTTAACATTCCTTTTACACGAAGTGAGATGATTTTTTATTGCTTCAGGATTTGTGGTAGTTTAGAGGCCAGGCAGAGATTGAATAATTTCTGTTGTATGTTTTTACTAGTCAGTTGAACAGGAGCATTGTTTAATTCATGGTGTTCCCTGCATATCCTGTATTTTTAAGGTCAGACAGAATGGTTGCAGATCAGCTTTGAAATGTCTTGGAGGAACTGGGGAGTAAAAACAATGGTTTTTCTTATTTTCCTTGTGTCAAATTTTGGATTATAAGATCCTCAGAAGACAGAAACTGCCCTGAAATATTTTATAATTGGTAGTGTTTACAGAAATAAGAATAGAGGTGACAACATTCAAATAGAGTACCTCGTCTGAAATTCATTCATGTAGAATCCTTCTGTATTATTCAAAAGGCATGTAACAAAGCCTTTAACAAATGCTCTCATATTTATTTTATCATTATAATTTTCCATTTGGCTTACAATATGGGAATACTATGTACACTAGTATAAACTCTTCCAAAAAAAGTCAATCTTGATGTCCCTTCTGTTGTTATTTTAGGAGCACAGCTTTTTAGCAGCAGGAATGAATTTCGAATCAGCACCCTGACATTTCATCCTCTTGATCCAAATGTGTTTCTTTGTGGAGGATTCAGTCCAGAAGTTAAAGCCTGGGATATAAGGTCTTCTAAGGTAAAAATAAAATTGAAACCAAAATTATTTGAACTTGCTTTTGGTAACCATCCTGGAAATAATAAATCTATGTGGGTAGCTAATGATATTATTTTGGAGAGAATAATTGGCATTTTCTGTTGAAATAGCATGGGAACATGATTTCTTTTCTATTATTTTTGCACTATGATGTAAAAGCAAACAGCTAAAATTATTGATACATTCTCTCTAAAACAAAAACCAGATAAAGAAGAAAAAGTAGGGGCATGTTTGATAAGTCTATTTTGTATTTAATTTCCTTGTCACTTACTGCTGTGCATGTTCTGAGAGTTGTGATAACTATTAAAAGGTAATTTTCACCCGTTGAAACTGATTTATTAGTAAGGCATCATTTGCTGAAATAAGCAGCAATTTGTGAGTTTTTGAAACTGTCTGCCAGAGGGTTTTTTTTTCTGTTTTTGTTTTTGTTTATCTGCAAGAACCTTTAACATTTATTTGTGGATTTTTAATGTTAGAGTGTGGATCTATCATCATGAAGTTTGATATCAAAAGACCACTCTGTTTATCTGAGGAAAATTTGATTAAACACAGTGGGACTTACTGCCAAGCAATCATGATAATGACACACAGTTACAGAACATATAATGTTCCATTTACAGGAAGTACTACACAGAAGGAGAATATGATAATTAACTATTATTTCATGTGGTAAAAGTAAGAGGTTGCATATAAAAGGAAACTGACTAATTATGCAATAATAATTGTCTCTCATTATAGCACGGTAAAGGGCAGCGATCAGCTTCTCCAGAGAATAGTCTAAGGCAATTGAATATGTTGTAAGTTATTTTAAGGACTAATATTTTAGTGCTTTAATATCCATAGAGAGATACTCACATGAAAGAACATGTCTGCTCTAAGACATATTTTGAATATTCTGGCATTTGTCGGCTTTACTAAAGTCCACACTGCTGGTCCCACTGGATTTTCTACCAATATTCAACTTGGAAGTTTCAAAACCCCTTTTTTGTATGACTTCTGAGCTTTTCTCTGTTAATAATAATTTTACATCCTATTTACATTTAAATCTGTCTTGTTCCAAGTTTATATTCTTATAGTATTTTTGATTTGACCTCTTAATCAAAATACTTACAATATGTTTCAATATTTCTGATGTCATTATTTGCAGTCAGATTGATTCTAATGTTATACAATTCAGGTTACTTGGCAGGATATGTATGTTGAAACATCTTCTCTGTGACCAGTAATGTGTTGAATATTGAACATTGGATCAGAATCTTTTACACTTGTAAGTCTGGTATTACATTCCTGTTGGACCTCTGTGTGGTATAATCCTGAAATTGTGCCATGATATCCCATTGGTTGCTTCAAAATTCTGCCCTTGGTGGGCAGAGATTTCTGGTGGCCACATCTCAAGATGAAGTTGGGAAATATGTTCTTTCATGGCAAGCCTTGTTTGCTGCCTATTCAAGGCATTCGGGGCAGCTAGTTGGAGAACGCCTACCATTGCCAACACCAGAAAGACCCTGGTAAACTGTATCTCTCAACTTCATCATAGAGCTGCCTCTTGTCAAAGGGAGCATTTTCACCAAGGTGGCTCATTTCATTCCTTGTACAGGCCTACCCATAGACAAAAATGTGGCGAGTATCTTTTTAAATAACATATTCCAAATATGTTGCAAGTTTCTTTTTAAATAACATATTCTACGTAGGTTACCAGAACACCTGATGTCAGACTGGGGTCCACAGCTCACTTCTTTTGGCAGACACTCTGACAGATTGATATGCAACTTCATCTTTCTTCGGCTCATTATCCACAATCAGATAGGAAAATATGCTTCACTCTCCGTTGCCCTGGATGCATCTTGCATACCTTTCCCAAGTTCATGTTCCTTACTCTCTATAATATAGGTCATCCCCTTGGTTTCCGGAAGTTCTCTAGGATATAAAGTAGAAAATACCTCGATTATAGATGAAGGTGGACAGAACATAAATCTGACTGAGCATGGGTTTATACTCAGATTTTAGCCTTCTCAGTGTTGATAGGAGAAGCAAAGAATTCCTACTTCTTATTGCATCAGTGTGTTGTCATCCAGTAACGTTAGATCCTTCTGGGAAGGATCTAGTTGCATTTGTAACCAGTTAACACAGCATTTTGCTGATGAACTCATCAGAGTTGCTTAAGTCTGGATTTCACTTGGACAGAGCCTAATGTGGCATCTGGGACCTCTTGCCAGGATATCTGGGATTCATTTTGACGTCTATCTTCTCTACTGAGGAAGTAAATGGGATGCTTCGACAATGTCCTCTGCTACTTGTAGCCTAAACCCTTGTCCCTTGTGGCTTCGATGTGTGTCCAGAAGAGGGTATATTCTCTGGATCTGGAAGATTATCAGTGCTTTCTTTGGGGAGAGGTTGTTTCTGGCAGCTTTGAGTGAGGTTATGGTACACTTTCTTCTTAGGAGTCCCTCTCTAGATTCAAACTTCCTTTTTTAGCAAAGGTTGCAGAGACAGTGTCAGTGTTTTAAGTTTGGCAAGGTCAGGAGACAGAAGCAGCAGGGATTTCACAAATGTGATTTATTTTTGTGAGTAAAATAATAGAACCTTGAAGATCTGTTGGAGTTTCTCTTTATCACGTCTTATACTTAACAAAAACAAGTGATTATTTTCAGTTTCTTTCTCTCACTTTCCTCTTTCTCAAGATTGAGTCACCTTTTCCCCATCTCTTAATGGTTTATTACTCCCTTCCTCTTTCCCAAAGCCAGTTCTACATTCTTTCTGGGATTAACTGTAGAGTCTCCAAGATAAACTGTAGCATGTCCAAGATAAAATGTCAGCCTTATCAGTCAGGATTTAGGATTTTTGGTTGCATTAGTGAATTATAGTTGTTAAATTCTGGATGGAAGATAATATGTCTGTCCTGATCCTGTTCAATGTATCAGTACCATTGACCCTAGTATCCTTCTGGATTGGCTTTGAGAGCTGGGATTTGGGGCACTGTTTACAGTAGTTCCAGACTTTCTTTAATGGCTGCATCCAGTCAGAAGTGGTAGAAAAGAGCCTGCTACCTTACTGGATGCCACAGGGGGCTGGTTTTCTTCCTCCAACTGTTTAATATTTGCATGAAACTGGTAGGTGAGATCATCTGTCAACTTGGGGTGCAGTATCCCCAGTATCTCCTTGATATCCAGCTTTGCATTACTAGTTTGGGACATACTGGTGAGATAGAGATCTTATCCCAGCATCTAGAGCAGTGTTTCTCAACCTTGACAATTTTAAGGCATGTGGACTTCAACTCCCAGAATTCCACAGCCAGCAATGCTGGCTGTGGAATTCTGGGAGTTGGAGTCCAATGCCTGTGAAGAGCTGGGTGGGAGAGAGCAGCTTAAAACTGAATGGTAGTAAGATGGAGTTACTGTTTGTCCTTCAGGATGCTTGGGAGGTTCCAATAGCGAGACTTGATGGGGAAGCACTTATCCCTCTAGAACAGTGTTTCTCAACCTTGGCAACTTTACGATGTGTGGACTTCAACTCCCAGAATTCTCCAGCTAGCAACGCTAGCTGGAGAATTTTGGGAGTTGAAGTCCACACATCGTAAAGTTGCCATGGTTGAGAAACACTGCTCTAGAAGCAGGTTCCTTCTAGGCTTATGGCTCCTGTTTGAACAAGGAATGGGATATGCATGTAGATCTGTTGATGTGCCATGTTTTGATTGAAAACTCAATTAAATAGATTATGCTTTCACCCTGTACAGTAGGTACACTGAACTAAACTGTTTACCTATATTTAAATGATGTTAAATAGATTATAGTTTTGAAATAAAAGAAAATGTCTCTAGTATATATCTAAATAATAGCATACACTATATATATATATCCATGCATTTATACAATGCATATATGCAAGCACTCAAGTCTTATCTCAACTTTTGTCTTTTTCCCACTTTTCCAATAATATTTGTTATAATAAACGAGAATATTTGTAACTCAGGGTTGACATGATGGGTTTTTGGTGCTCTCTGAGCTTGCTTGTTATCTTGCAGATGTTTCATTACCAAAACTAGGTAATATCATCAGTGCTAGTAAGGAGTGCTGTTTGCTGTCAGTTTATATTATAGTAGCTTGTCTGTTAATGTTGGTGAGAGTGGTCTTAGAGATTCTTTAATGTTGGCTTCTTTGGCAGTTTCTTGACTGGGGTATTGTTACTTGAATGTTGGTCTGATGTTAACCTTGGAGTTAATCTATGCTGATTGGGGTGCTGATTGCTGATGGAGAGGTGCTGGAGTCTTTTTGTTCTTTTTGGGCCAGGTGATAGTCTCTTTTGCATAGTCTATATATGTTGTTAATGTCTATGTGTCTATTGATGGCTGATTTGTCAGAGTGCCAGGCTTCTAGAAATTGCCTGGCATTTTTGGACTTGGCTTGGTCTAAGATGGTCAGGGAAATGTCTGTTCTCTGTTGTACTTTATTTAATTCTTGATGAGCAAAGTTCCCTTGCTTGGAATGTAGGTATTTAGGCAAGTATTAATACTACTTTACAATGCCTTGGTAAGGCCATACTTGGAATACTACATCCAGTTTTGGTCACCACGATGTAAAAAAGATGTTGAAACTCTAGAAAGAGTATAGAGGAGAGCAACAAAGATGATTAGGGGACTGGAGGCTAAAACATATAAGGAACGGTTGCTGGAATTGGGTATGTCTAGTTTAATGAAGAGAAGGACGAGGGGGGACATGATAGCAGTGTTCCAATATCTCAGGGGCTGCCACAAAGAAGAGGGAGTCCAGCTATTCTCCAAAGCGCCCGAAGGCAGGACAAGAAGCATTGGATGGAAACTAATCAAGGAGAGAAGCAACCTAGAACTAAGGAGAAACTTCCTGACAGTTAGAACAATTAACCAGTGGAACAACCTGCCTCCAGAAGCAGTGAATGCTCCAACACTGGAGGTTTTTAAGAAGAGACTGGACAGTCATTTGTCCGAAATGGTATAGGGTTTCCTGCCT